AATGGTCGCACTGCGCAGCTTTCTGAGTGCCTTTTAAAAGGAGATAGAAAACTCCGCCAATTTGATCCCTTATTACGTGTTGCCTACATCTTGGCGCAATATTTTCAATAGGTGCGTTTTAATCATCCGCTTCTACTTCGGAATTGTCGGTTTTCTTGTTTTAATCTGACAGGTTAAAACGACTAAACCGATAATTCCGGAAGCAGAAGCGGATGATTAAAACGCACCTAATATTTTGCTTGCTGCTGTCGGTGTCAGTGAATATTATTTTTGGAGTCACAATTTATTGCTAAAGAATCAGTTAGCTCACTCGGACCAGTTGAAAGTTCCAAAATAACATCCACTCCAGGGATACAAATTCAGGATACGCAGAAGACTGCTGTTTTATTATAGGCGGTTGTCATATTTTGTATTATCCGAGTTGCGCAGTGTATAAACTGGAACATTGAGATCAAAAGTGCCGACGCAGAGTAAGCGAACTGATTCTTTAGCTATAAACTGTGGCATAGGAATCAAAATGGCCGCGCCCTATGTTGGGCGTGTCGGTCCTCTCTCTTGCACCGTATAGTAATCAAAGTATGTGACTTTGAGATTTTCGCAGTAATGTTTACCTGCCAGTGTCGTTTCATAGAATAAGTAATTTTAAATTGTTACCGGCGGAACTAGACAATCGCATGTATTTATGGACTATAAATAATTATTAAACATGTATTATAATATTCAAATCATAATTTTACAAAATTTCAATAGCTATTCACAATTTATTAAACTATTTACTCGAAATTGTTATTAACATCTATAAAATAATTTTGTACGCCAATTTATCGCGTTCACTTCGCTGAGATCCGCCGCAAACCTGTCAATTTATGTGTATAAAGTTGGAGAACTGGCAAAAGCCTTTCCAACTTCTACTTGTGCTTAATCAACATCTACTGGGGGAAATCCCTCTCCTGTAATTGGCTTATTCAATATGCGTTGCCAAGTTTGACAGCGCCAGTTTTGACACTTTCTGACACATGTCAATTTTTGGTTTGTATTTTACGAAAAATGTAATTATTTATAGCGTTGTAAAGGTTGTAAATGTATATTTAAGATTTATTATCTCTAATAATATGGCGAAAACATGCTTTAAAGGTACCATTTCGGTAGGCGCGACAGACGACCGCCGACGCGACATACGACCGCCGACGCGACCGAGAAGTGTCGCTTCACATCTAAAATACATACATTTATATGAAACACATTTCGCACGGCGAGACACTTCCTGGAGACACTTCTGAATCTGACTCGGGGCAAAGGTTTGCTGCCTGTCGCACTCGAGGTCACTGTCCTCGAGCATCGCTTCATCGCTTGGAGGTGAATAGGTTGAAAATGTCTTTCGATCTAGGCAGTGTTGCCAGATTTTGTAACAGTATGGGTGAAAAAAAAAACGTAGATCTGAACAGTAGATTTTAATACAGCGGGAAATAATTGAAATTTGCATTGTAGTAAATAAAAAAAACAAGTATATAAGAAACGAAAAATAAACTTTTTTCGACCCAAATTAGAAGGTAAACAAAGAATGAACACAAATAATAACATTTTTAATATATACTTAACGTACGGAAACAAAAAAAAAACAATAAAAAATAATAGGTACCTACTTCTTTTAGATCAGTCTGAATCAGATAATTCAAAATCGTAGTGTGCATGTTCTATTTATGATGCCCTATTAATTCTTTGTTTCATTTTAAATAAAAACAATGATTATCTTGATGTTTTTTTTTATGGAGCCAACCTAGAGTAGTGGATGCTTATTATGCTCCTTTTACTGTAGAAAATTTACTAGAGAAAATATTCTTTAACCATTTGCTGAAGAATGAGGCAAACTTAATAAATTAAGAACAAGATTTGCTAGAGACAGAAACAGTGGATCTACGTGAAAACAGTAGGTCTGGCAAGGCTGATCGTTCCCTCGAATGGTTATCCTGTAATTGTCGCGCGACACTTCTCAAGCTTGCGAAATGAACCAACCGTAACATTTATGCATCTGTCGTCCTACTCGACCTTGGGGTCGCATCAGTAGTCGCTTGTCTCTTGACGCGCCTACCCAAATGGTACCTTAAGTGTACAAGACCTGTTGAAAAGGCTTTTTTAATGTGGACTTTACATGCAGCTCAATTTCGTGGCAGTGAGCATGGAATTGGACAGGGAAGTTGGCAGCGCGAGTATGTAAACACGTCGCACGCGCTGTTATTGCTCATGCCACTGCCGCTGCCACACGATCCCTTCAGTGGCGGTAATTTGAACAGAAGTCAAAGGACTTGGAGCACGAGCGACAGCGACTGTTTACATGCTGCCCGCTGTACTGTTCTGTTGCTTTACCAAGTGCACAAAGAACAACTTATGTTAGTTGTTTGGTTAATTATTGGCACCAAAAACATTTAAACCATGGTTGTGTAGAGCAACGACCAAGTGCTCTTAAAGTTTTTAGAGCTATATGCAACTGAGGTATTATTATGGGATCCTTCACATAAAGATCACAAAAAAACACAAAGTACACGATGGATGGAAAAGGAAAAGTGAAAACCTAGAAATTGCCTCAATTGAAGTACTGAAGTCAAAGAAAAAATCTCTAATGACAACATTTTGGCCACTATTATAAAAGAAAAAGCGTTGATATGGTCTGGAGCGAATGCTGATAAGGTTTTTCAGCCCATTTGGTTTTTTTATGTCACATTTCTTTTTAAAACATTATATTATTTTGCAAACTCAAGAAACCGAGCGCTACGTCCTCCATTAATGCTAGAGAATAATGGGTAGGCACGATAGCTGCATGTAAATAGTTACAAGCTTCAAAGGCTGCCGTGGAATTATTCAGGTCAGGACAGCGGGCAGCGCGAGCAGCAGCGCAGTGGCTGCATGTAAAGGCAGCATAAGATTATATCATAAATAAGTACAAACACAATCTAATTATTAGTGGCGGTGCATTAGGCAATCACTATTAATTTGCAATTCTTATTTTCTTGTCGAAAAAGTAAAATTAAAAGGGAATAAACCCGAGCTAAGTTCGTCTTTATCCGTCTGATAATGATTACAGTAAAGGTTAATTACTTATTGATATAAATAAAAAAAATCAAACCTGTAACTTTATTTTATTATATCACATCTTTGTAACGTTTATTGTTATTTTTTTATTGTTGATTTCCTTTCATTGATATGAAAAAAAAAAAAATGGTTCCAAAATTTAGGAATTCAACATGTGGCCACCCCGAATAACTTTTTATGCTAATTAAGATTTTTATTTCAGACCTCAGGGGAGGAAAATATTAAAGAAAAATGCAGTTTCAGTAAATTTCTACTCGATGAAAGAAGTATAATAATCAATCCTGTCACTACTTCCTCGCCATATTCATCTGCTACTAAAATACTAAAACTTAAGTTTCTTTCAAAAAGATTGTTTCTCTACGATCACTAGCCAAAGTAGGCTTTTGCGCTTCGAAATACAATCGCAAAGTTGACGTTTTCAGCAAACTAACATTAAGTGATAGCTTTGTTGCTCGCCGAGCGCAAAACATTGTTTTTTTTTGTGTCATCGGCGTCGACTACTACGGCCATTAGCCTCGTGTTCTGGGTAGGCTTTGTTACTGTTTCCCAGCGCCACTTTAGGAACGGCACTGTTAATTAGAACCCAACAGTGAATGGTTTTAAATAATTAAATTAAATGAAAAAATCCCGGCCAACGGTAGGTCTTGTTTCTCGCCTAATTTAAATTGAATTTGATTTAATAATATTTCTTTTTAATAAATTATTTTCAAGTTATTTATAATTTGATGTTTTTTGTTTTATTATTATTAACATTGACTTTGAATATCAACTCCGTTATTAATATAGATATAGCAACACATTATACCCTTACGACAAATTTCTTAAAATAATGTGATCGTAGAAAAAATTAGTTGTAAAATTTTGGTGGAGTTTTTCTCTTGACATGTAATGTAAAAAATTTTATCCTCTTTAATTTTATTTTATTAACCGACTTCAAAAAAGGAAGAGATTCTCAATTCGTCGGAATATATATATTTTTTACGTATGTTCAGCTATAATTTTTTACCACGTTGTCCAATTTCTTCGAGTCTTTTTTTTTTTAAAAGGGGATACCTCAGGTCTAGTTTCATATACAATTAGTCAGGATCTGATGATCGATGAGAAAATCAAAAATCTCAATTTCTAAGGACAACTGCACGATTTTGAAGTTAGTTTTTTAAAATTACTTTTATAACTTTTAAAAAAACGAAGAATTCCGGGAAAATTTTTGTTAGCAAACAGATTCTTGTTCAGCTACCCAAAAATACATAATGGTACCGAATATCTAAACTCTACTTTTCTCTGATGCCTCTTTTCGAATCTTATATGCCTAAGTAGGTTGGAGCGAAAAAACTTATTTTTGAATTTGCCAATCCCTGGGTGCGGAATAATTGCCTTTATATACCCATTTTATCCACAAAAAAAATTAGTTTAAAAAAATTATATCTTCAGGTTCCTTTTTGATTTTAAAATTTTACTACTACAAGAAAAAGTCCTATTTTTTATTTTAATTTTTCAAATTTTTTTTACAGATATGTTTGGTGGACTAAAAGGCAACTTTTAAGGCAACTTTTCCACACTCAGGCCAATTAAAATTTCAAATTTCAAATTTTTGCCTATTACGTATTATCTTACATCTTTTTTGATTTTTTTTTATAAAAAAGGTACCTGAAGCCGTAACAATTTTTCAGATTTTTTTACAGGTGTTTTCAATGGACTGAAAGCTAACTTTTCCACACCCACCCAACTAAAAATGTACTCTTTAATTTTTTGTCTATATGATATCACTCCACCCTAGCCTACAGTATAGACATATTTCTTAACACGCCTTTGTCTAAAGTTGTTTTTTTTTTATAAAAATTTAAACTTCTCGCAACTTCTACGTCGTCATTACGTCATATTATTAAAACAAATATTTTCTTAGTCTGAACAATCCTATCCAATAAAACTATCGATTCCATAACCATAGAGATATTGACAAAACGAACTTCATAATAACGTTTTACAAGTTTAGTATGCAATTTGAAACGATTTTTACTATTCTCGTATACATTTTTTTATAATATTTTTTCGAAGATGATCCGTAAGGTGTCTCAACCGCAAAGTACCAAGGAGGCGAGCGAGTCCAGTTCGGGAGCCAGTTATGAAGAGCCCCCGTCAGAACAAGAAGAAGAAGCGAAGGTATCTGTTATGGGCAGCATGGACGTATGCGAGGCCATAGACAAAACGAAAATTAAGAAATGGAAAGCCAGCATGAGAAAACCATTTATACCAGTTAGACAGAGAAAGAGATTGGTGCCGAAGTATTTTTCTGATGATAAAAAGGTAACTACAACCATATACAGTTAAAATATCCGTAATAGCCATTTATGAAACCAGTTACGAAATGTTTTATTTTATGTAACAACTGAATATTTGCGGGACAAGCAGAGAGGTGTCCCGCAACATGAACGAGTTACACAAATCGGCATTTAGTAACGTGTTACATACAATATTTTTTCTAATTTTAATTATTTATAAAATTGTGTTTTGGTTAAACTATGAAGACTAGAGATAACGAGGCGAATCGGCATACTCAAAATACGGTCCCAAAAAAACGCATGCGTATTGAGCTTCTATAATTAACCACACGGGCGCTGGTACTGCTAACGGTATTCAAAAAAATCTTATAGGAATAATACATAATTTTGTCCAAATAATAAAAATAAACTTGTTTATAGCTAAATAAAGCACAGAACATACTGTTTTATTTACCTATTTCTAAATAAGTCTTGCATGTTTTAATTGATAAATTATTTAATTTTATCTATATAAAATACAAATTAGGTATGTATGACCAAATTCGAAAAGGTTTCTTAAATACTGAAATTTGATAAGTACAATTTTGTGGCACAATTTTTTTTAAATTGAACCAATATATAGTTTTAAAAGTAAAATAAAAAACAGTTAATAGCTTTTTTATTGTTGTAATACAAGTATAAAGGGAGATTTGGGAATGTACATGGTATTACCTCATCCTTTAATTTCAGCTTTCCCCTTTTTATTTTGCAGTACCATCAATAAAAATAGTCTCATAATATTTAATAATATCTCCTAAAAGTATAGAACATCATCATCTCTAGAAATTGCTTTATCAGCACTAGGATCGATATATATGCTGCCACTGTTCTAAACGTTTAGTATCCTATAAAAACATTTACAATGACACAATTGGGGTCCAAAAAAAAATAACAGTAGCAACTCTTTATCTAACATTAAAACTCTATAAAAAATAAATTTTCTTTTCTAGTTAGTTAAATTTAATGCATAATTATTGTTGTTTGTAAGTCAGCATCTATGACTGTAAAATTTTATATTATAGGAACTTATAATAAAATAAACTACATTTCGTAAGATACATATTGTGATTAGTTTACAATAAATATTATATTTAGACATGAATACATTATTTTACTTACATTAGAAGCTTTAAAAAGACATTGAATTGATTTCTTGTTTTCTTTAGTTTTTCATTTGATTTTTATCTTGTTTTACAATCTGGAACGATGTAAATCTTGCTTTGATGTTTTTTATCACTCATGTTACTCAGGTACTTTTTTCACATTATTTTTATTCTTTTCACCATTTTTTTAAAAAATCACTTCATTTTACATAGAAAATTGACACCGCTATCATTAGACATGCCAACTACAGTAAATTTTGAGAACTTTATAAAAAGAAGGACGAAAATTTGAAATTTGACTATTGCCGATTCGCCTCCTTCTCGGTATAACATTACTGACATCTAGGCGGCCAATATTACTTTCTTGTATTGTTAGTTGCATATGCGTTACTTTATCTATTTCATTGACAAATAGAAAATCATATTAATTTATTCTCAATGACTTGTAGTGTGTTTATATTGCTTGTTAAAGTTATTTAGTTTTTAAGAAAGTGGGTTATTTTGTCGTGTATTGTGTTACTGTATTATTTTGTGCGAATTTAGAATGGAAAATAAGTACCAAAACATCATTATTACTAGGTTGTAAGTTTAACCAAATTCTATTTTTATGAGTCAATCTGCCCTTCTTTCAAAAGGGTTTATTTTTATTTATTTTCTTTTCACAACTGGTGATGTAATGAAGTAAATCATTTTGACACTTGCTGCGATTACAAAACAATGTCACTTTATATGTCAAAATTAGAAAAACCCCATTATTGATTGTTTTTAAGTTGTTACAGTCTAGAGAAGAAAGAAGTGCAGTAATTTAATTTGCAGAAGGTAGTGCAGGTTCAAAAGGTCAACATTTTATCTATACCTCATCCTTATTTGCAGTTAAAATGAAAATTTTTATACATCTGATTATCCTAATAAAAGTTTTCGTTTAAATTTAATCATGTTTTCATGGTTTTTACTGTAATAAACCTTTTTACAGATAAGTCAGACTTTATTTATTTATTTATAGCCATATCGTATGTATTTTAAATTATTCGGAATTTTGTATTAGTATATTTTATAGTTTTACAGTTACTTATGTAAGAATCGCGAGTACATTAGAAAATATTGCAAACACAAGTACGCGTAAACGACCTAGTGGAGATAAAGCATTATCTTTAGAAGAAAAATAACGTACTTAATTTATTTAATAATCTTCTAAAAGACTTTGTTTTACTTTCTGTGAATGAAATAGCCACTGAATGTGAGACCTAGACTGGGCCACAGTTTAAAGTTAAAGAATCAGATCGCTCACTCTGCGTCGGCGCTTTTGATCTCAATGTTCCAGTTTATACCCTGCGCAACTCGGATTTGTATCCTTGACGCATACAGAATCAAATCATAACCAATACAATATCTGACAACCGCCTGTATTCAAACAGCAGTTTTCTGCGCATCCTGATTTTGTATCCTTTGAGTAGATATTCTTTTGGAACATCCAACTGGTCCGAGTAAGCTAACTGATTCTTTTTAGCAATAAACTGTGACTGGGCTATCTAAGCGGATAATTGTTAAATGTTTTCAAGTAGGCTATGAATCATTTCTGATATTTCAAGCGATGTGTCAACAGATGTAGAGTTTTAAAGTTACAAAGGTTAAATAAAATTCGCCATACTGATAAAACCTGTTCAGAAACTAGAAACTGCTTATTGAACGTTCGTTTCGTATGCACAGTTGCCCGACGAGTATTTTAATCTTGAAAAATGAATCGTCCAAAAAATGTATCGGCAGAAGAGGCAGTAAGAGCCTTAACTTTATTTTATGAGGGCTATTCAATGTGTCATGTTGCTAATGTGATAGGAAGACATCGTTCGACTATAAGTCGTATGGTTGAACGATTTAACGAGACAGGATCTTACTCTCGAAGGTCAGGACAAGGACGAAAACGATGTACCGATCCAAGGGATGAACGTTTTATTAGGTAAACTGCTCTGAGAAACAGGAAGATCACTAGTACTAGGCTAAATAGTGAGAACTGCTCGCCATCATACAATATCGTCTCGAACAATCAAGAGACGTTTAAATGGGGTTGGTTTAAGCAACAGAAGACCGGCAAAGAAACAATTACTCATCAAAAAGCACAGAGTTGCAAGATTTCGTTTTGCCAGAAATTATCAACATTGGACTGTTAATGATTGGAAGAAGATTTTATTTTCTGATGAAACGAGATTTAGTCTCAATTCTCCTGATGGGCGTGAACGTGTTTGGCGAAGAGCAGGAGAGAGATTTGCAAGTTGCAATATATCTTTAAAAATCGTGTTTGGTGGAGGCTCTGTAATGTTTTGGGAATGAATATGCTTCAACGGACGCACAGAGTTAGTCTTTATACGTTTAAGATCAATTAACGCCGATTATTATCTAGAAAACATTGTGATTGAACATGTAATGCCATTTGTTCCTTTTTTGGGACCGAATAGTTTATTTATGCAGGGATAATGATCGTTCCCACGTGGCTAGATAAGTTATAGAAAACATGAACTCTGTAGCTATTCTGTTGATAGAATGGCCACCTAAATCCCATAGAAAAAGAAAAATTCGAAGTCGCAATCTCGTACCGGTTAACCACAATCAATTGATGAATGCAGTAATTTCCGAATGGGAGGATATTCCCCAAGATACAAATAAAAATTTAATTTTCAATATGCCGAGGCGTATAAATGCAGGGATTCAAAGTAGAGGTGGGCATACACGTTATTAACAGTATAAATCCATTAATTTTATTGTTTATTATTTTTATTCTTTTCCTGTTTCACTCGTTTCCAAAAAAAAAATTGTGTATAATAAACTCACAATTATAATCTTACTTTTACTTTATTAAATAAAGTTACTCGTTAATTTTGTTTTCATTTATCAAAGCGAGCAGAAAGTATACGGTTATTTAGATAACAAATAATGTATTCTATATTGACACATCGCTTGAAATGTCAGAAAAGGTCCATAGCCTACTTGAAAACATTTGACAATGAATGTTTTGAATAATAAAGTCTATTAAAACATGTTACGCCATAGATTACTAATGTGAATAGATGGGAAACCCAATGGTAAAATTCTGAGTCGATGTGCTGCCATCTATCAAATTGGAGTGGTACTAAAATTCAATATGGCCGCCACGAGCGGGCTTTTTGAAATTTAACTTTGTAGTAGCGCAAAAATGTAATGAAGAAAATCAAATAAAGCCAAAAAATTGGAAAAATATTTGACTAGTTTCAAATCATAAAACAACCATATTGACTGTTTTGTGATTTGAAACCAGTCAAATATTTTGCCAATTTATATCTTTATTTGATTTTACTTCATTATATTTTTGCATTAATTTCAAACTTGAAATAAATTGCAATTTTGTTTTTTATTACAGTAAATTATCGCCGCATCATATAATTTGTCTATTTAAGGTAGTTCACTCGTAAAACGGCTTTTCTTAAGAATTCAATAAAATTGAAATATAAGGTTAATGAAAGTGTCTTTTATGTAAATAAAAAAAAATTAAATTTTTTGACCGTCTGTAAAACGAGATATTAACAATCAAAATGTGCATAATTAACACTCTTGAAGCCTTTCATGTACACAAGTAATGCATTTATTTCCAGATATCTCGAAAACTGTTCTTACCATATTTTTTAAAAACTAATGTAATGTAAATCAAGAAGGTATAAAATTTTCTAAAGAAACGCTGAATTTTTTGACCGTCTTAGTAAAAAGATATAGATTTTTAAAATAAAAATATTTTTAAAGCAATCGACGCGTAGTTGGTAAAATTATTACAACTTGGCAACGTTGTATACGCTGCAATCAACGCGTTGTACCAAACTAACACTCGATCAGCTAAGAGGATGTTATAACCTCGTGACGTTTACTTTGAAAAATTAATTCGTCCACTGTATTTGAGAACTGGAATCAGCGGTTCTGTTTGAACCAAAACAAACCCTTAAAATTAATATGACGAAGTCACAAATTTCTATAGCAAACCATTCACGTATTTATGAGGTTGCCGGATGGATTTTATTAAAATCCATATATATATAAGATGATATAAGCTTACATGTGTTTTGTACAGTCTCTTACAAAAATAAAATTGATTAGCATTGAGAATCTCGAACTATTGGTATTCACCATTAAGCGATATTTTTATGTACGACTGTCGCGAGTGAACTACCATAAATATGGAAATACTTAAACAAATATGCATTTATACCATTTAAATAATTAAATAGTTGTAAAAAAAACCTATCAAAAATGTTTTTCTGTAACAAAATCAGTATATATAAGTGCTCAAGATCTTTATAAAAGTTTTGCGACTTGGAGTGGCAAATAAGTTTGAAAAAATTGAAGTGAAGCATCATCATTTTTTACTATGGAGGCAAATTTGAGTGTGGATAAAATTTGCCATACGGTTATTGAGTCGACTAGTTAGGTTGAGGAGCATTTCTTCATCCGATAATTGTTTTCGTGATTCATTTATACAGCACTTGTAGTTATCAAATTTTTTTTCATTATGTGGTCATCCTGATAAATGAATTTAACTTTTGAGTATAAATTAAACTTACACACGTTTGGACCCTTGACGATTTTAGGGTGTTTTCTTGTTTGATGTCAATGGCATTGAATCAATTTTTGATATTGATAGCTGAGGCTCAAATATTTCATCGATCGACAGGGTATTTTGGAGGGCCAACATTTTCTTTACAATAATGATCATTTAAAAACTGAAAACAAAAAGAAATTTAAATAACAAACCAATTATTTTAACACTGAATCAAAAACAAGTTTGTAAATATTACTTACCAAATAGTGATGGTGCATTTTTCTTAAGACACTTATTACAAATTATTTGGATATCCTTAACATGACGACTGCATATTTAATGTGGTATAAATTGCATCACTACCAATATCTGGGAGTGCTTTATTGTTTGTTGCTGAAATCCATCTTTCCATCGTTTGAAAACATGCTTAAAATTGGAAGGTGAAAAATAAATCAAAATTTAATACACCTTCAAATACAATAACCAATAGCCATTTTAATTTCTCCAAGTTTGAAGTTTTGACGAGCTGACAACTGACATGACATTTCGATACGTTAATTGGAGGGGTACTAAATTACCAACCTCATGTGTTTCCATTTGAGTTACCAGCCCCTGTGTTATGCTATAAAACGGCGTATCTCCTTTAATAAGAGAGATAACGGAACTTTAAAACTCATTGTTCACTGTATATTCTTTTAGGTAACCGAGGCCACAATATTCGATTTGGACAAGGAGCCATGTCCTTTCCGACCACCACGCGATTCCAAGATGTTCGCACATAAATTGTTCACCGGAGAATACAAAAGAAATTTTCGAACCGTTCAAAACAGAAAAGCGGTGATGCACAAACTATTTGAACGAAGCAGATTGAACAAGAACCTTGGTAACAGACTTTACGTCAAGGTGCCACCCGATAATATTAGAACCGTGTTGAATTTTGACGGAGAATATAACAAAGCTGTAGAAGGTAATTGAACAACTAAGCTGAAGGGGGAATGGTGTCTAGGTACACGCTAACTTGTACGCAATTCAAAAAGTTATATACACGCGAAACGTCTTGACAGAGTAGGTGAACTGGTGTTCGAAGCTAGGTATGGACAGTCGTTGCTTCATTTTCTTGTTGTTACGGCCTTCTTATTATTATTATTTGTTCATGTACGTGAAATTTGCTTCCAAGGTTTATATAATACTACTGCTAGTCACGGCGTAAATGAAAACAAACAAGGCGCATTTACACAAACACCTCCCACCACAGCAATATGACGTTTCGCGTGTATATAATTTTTTGATTTGTGTACACTTTAGCGTGTACCTAGCAACAGCGTTAAATCATTATAAATTATTGTACAGGTCGACAAATATCTGACGTTTTCAACGTCCAACGATACGTCGAAACAGTTAGGGATGTTCTAAAACACAGGATTCTCCTTGGATATAGAGAAGATGATATTATGTTATTGAATGAGAATATAGAGAACGAGCAAAGAGCAATTAGTCACATAAACAAATATTTATCCACTTATTCAAAAACATTGGAAGACGTTTTAGCTAAGGACCACCTATCGGCAACTAACATGATGAAGTAAGTCTTCTTTTAAATCGCTTTATATCTTTGTGGAAATGAAGAAAATAAAAAGTGTTTATTGTTTAGAGTTTAGGATAGGTTGTGCAGAGGTACTAGATACAATAAATGTTTAGATAATATTTTTATAAATTTTGACATTATAACTGTATCTGTAATTGAAATGGGTGTCTCGGATCATAGGGGACAGTTAGTAGAAACTCAAGAAACCTCTAAAATCAAAAACAACTTAACTTGTATTAGAAATTATTATTCACACAACAATATTGAACAATTTCTGAACTATTTAAATTCTGAAAAATGGCTAGAAGTTTATGATGCATATTTGGCGAAAGATAAATGTAATGCTTTTATTACCATCTTCGGTTCATATTACAATATACAGGGAGTCTGTAAAAGGTCTTTACAAAAACATACCACATATTCCTTAGACCAAAATAAGTCGATTTAAGTAAAATTACCTTAGTACAAAGTTGCTTCATTTGGGCTCCAGAGGGCCTTGAAGTTACAATTTTTAAATCGTTTTTCCCATATAAATTTAAAACGGCATATGCGATTTTGCTGAAATTTGATACATTGGTAGAGTTTTATGTGGCAAAAAAAATGGTATTAAAATTTTGTCCGATAATAATACATAGGCGTAGAACTTGATTTTTTATATAATTGCACCTTTAAAAATTCTACGCCAATGGAAGAAAAGGAGTTTAAGTATGAAATTTAGATTGCGTAACTCGTTTACTTTAAAAAAGGTACTCTTGATAAGACTCGATTACTCTCATGGTTTTGACGAAATTTGCATTTTAGTAATTTTAGAACATAAACAATAATTATTAAAATACAAACTTTGTCAAAACCATGAGAGTAAATCGAGTGTTATCAAGGGTACTTTTTTGTAGTAAATGAGTACCCAATCCAAATTTCATACTCAAACCCCTTTTCTGCCATTGGCGTAGAATTTTTAAAGTTGCAAATATTTAAAAAATCAAGTTCTACGCCTATGTATTATTATCGGACAAAATTTTATACGATGAAAAACTTAAAAATGTACTTTTTTCATATCTTCTTCAACACCTCTAAGACTTTTAACAAAAATACTCGATTCTTGCCATGTACGATTTTTTGAGGAATATTAATTATTTGCCTGCAATACGTATACAAAAACATTTATTGTTGGTTTCCATAGTTTTATCTAAATAAAAATATTGTCAAGTTTTAACACCTAATCTCTTGTTAACGATTGAAAGTGTTCTATCTGACTCAATAATTAAAAAAACAAATGCGTGGTTTATTAATATGGCTGTACAATATACCAATGCAGAATATACCGATATGTTACTGACATTAGGATTTTGTGAAGGAAATGCTCGAGAGAGTGTCGGGGTGTACTCTGAAAATCGTCGTGTACCTAGCCACCCAACTTTTGCTGCTGTTGAGAGACGTCTTCGGGAGACCGGTTCCTTTGCTCCCAACACTGTTGATAATGGAAGAAAATGTTTTGTAAGGATTCCTGAAGTTGAAGAAGACATTTTAGAACGTGTTGAAGAAGATCCAGAATTAAGCACCAGACGAATTGGATGGGAACTAGGAGTAAGTAAAGATGTCGTTCATAAAGTGCTTAGAGAACAATTGCTGTATCCATACCATAAGAAGCCAGTACAAGAATTGTTAGTCCATGATCCTCAAATTCGTTTGGTTTTTTGTCGATTTGTTAATATGCAAAGAGAAAGAGATCCAAACTTTGTCAAGAATGTTCTCTTTACCGATGAAGCGGGTTTTACAAGAAGAGGTATAACTAATACCCATAATGAACATGTTTATGCCGTTGAAAATCCGCATGCAATAAAGGTAAACCATTTTCAGCACGAATTCAAAATTAATGTGTGGGCTGGAATAATTGATAATTTCATTGTTGGTCCTGTCATACTTCCACGAAGATTAACTGGAGAAAATTATTTGGATTTTCTACAAAATACGTTGCCAGAATTGTTAGAAGATTTACCTTTCCAACTTCGGAGAGATATATGGTTTATGCAAGATGGAGTTCCACCACATTTTTCTTTAAACGTTAGAAACCACTTGAATGAACAATATCCACACAAATGGATAGGCAGAGGTAATGACGCACTTGTAAACTGGCCACCACGTTCCCCAGACCTAACAGCGATGGATTACTTTTTATGGGGACATCTGAAATCCACAGTTTACCTGTAGAACATGAGGAACAACTCTGGCAACGTATTCAAGATGCAATAAACAATCTTAGAGGCGATGAAGAAGTTATGGAAAGGATACATTTTAATTTTCTTCGACGTATAAATCTTTGTATGCGTGAAAATGGTGAACATTTTAAACAATTTTTGTAAAATCTCTATTTTGATTATGTTGTAAATAAATATTTTTGTGAAACCTATACACTCTAAATTATTAAAACAGAAATTTAACGAAAACCATGAGAGTAATCGAGTCTTATCAAGAGTACCTTTTTTAAAGTAAATGAGTTGCGCAATCTAAATTTCATACTCAAACTCCTTTTCTTCCATTGGCGTAGAATTTTTAAAGGTACAATTATTTAAAAAATCAAGTTCTACGCCTATGTATTATTATCGGACAAAATTTTAATACCATTTTTTTTGCCACATAAAACTCTACCAATATACCAAATTTCAGCAAAATCGCATATGCCGTTTTAAATTTATATGGGAAAAACGATTTAAAAATTGTAACTTCAAGGCCCTCTGGAGCCCAAACGAAGCAACTTTGTACTAAGGTAATTTTACTTAAATCGACTTATTTTGGTCTAAGGAATATGTGGTATGTTTTTGTAAAGACCTTTTACAGACACCCTGTATATTTTAAATCCAAACCTCAAATGCAGAATAAAAGACAGGGCTCTTATTGGGTTTCTCCCACAATTACTGAGGCAAAAAATAGACTGCTGTTTTTGCATGAATGGCAAAAACAGCATCCTAGTACTCAAAATATTCAATTATATGGGTATTTCTCCCTTAACTTTAAAAAACCATGTCCCCGTTGTGTAAAAGCCTTAAAAAATTGTCTCTTTTAAACATTTTTCTGCAGTACATGTTGTAAGCGATCCTTGCTAATAGAAAAAAGTAAATTTAATGTAGGTTATTTATTGGTACATTTTGGAGAAGACGGCAAACATGCAAAATGTCACTTCTGTCCCTGTCCCCAGTTCTAAAACTTCAACATTAACCATATTTTGCAGGTAAAAATAATTCCTTAAAAAGCTGCATTTACTTAAAAAAACTTTTTTATGTTCATGGCCTGCAAGAAAATGTGCAATTCTTGGGAAACAACAAGAAAAAAAATTTAATTGTGAACAAGTTAAACTTGTCCCCAGTGTTTTAGGTCACATCTGTCTCGCTTAATAATATAATTCCTGCGCGTTCATAGATGGCGGTGTCATCTAACGTTATTGCCTGAAAATTTTAGTTCTTGTAAAAGATTTAAAAAATAAAAGAACAGAGGATATTGATGGATTTAATGTATTTATAATGAAAAAATGTATTTCTTTTTTGTCTAAACCTTTAACTATAATTATAAATGCTTGTCTAACTGAAGGAATATTTCCTAAAAGCATGAAAGTTGCTAAGGTCTGTCCTCTATTTTAAAAAGGAGACCCTTCTCAGCCTTGCAACTTCAGACAAATTGCTGTACTTCCCATATTCTCCAAAATCTTGGAAAAAATTATGTATAATAATCTAATATCATATTAAAAATTCTTCCAACATACTGACGCCATTCCAGTATGGTTTTAGTAGGGGGCGATCTACAATAGATGCAGTATTATCTCTAGTACAATATATAGAAAATTGTTTTGAAAAAGCTGAAAAGATCTAAGCTCTGCTTTTGACTGTGTGGATCATTCAATTCTATTATCAAAACTGGAGAGGTATGGAGTACGAGGGATTTGTTACAGCTTTTTGAATCTTATTTAATTGACAGATGTCAAACAGTCATCATCGAAAATTGCAAAAGTTCATTGATGAATATCAGGAGAGGTGTCCCTCAGGGCTCAATTTTAGGTCCATTACTCTTTTTGATATACATTAATGATCTTCCTGACCATATGCATTTTGAAAACCTTATCACATGAATATTTGCTGATGATACTTCTTTTTGTATTAATACTAAAAGGGGAACAGATCATGATCAAGTTTACTCTGATGTTATGATTCAGGTAAAGAGGTGGTTTTCTGTAAACGACCTGTTTTTAAATGACACAAAAACTATCTCCCAATTATTTACAGTAAATAGTGAACAAGTTAATAACAATTCTGTTAAAACACTTGGCATTCAAATTGATCCACATCTTAGATGGACAGATCATATTGAAGCACTTTGTTCCAAATTATCACGAGCAGTTTTTGCTATTAGGAAAATACGCCAAATATGTGGTCAAGATGCAGCAATTACTGCTTACTATGCTCTATTTCATAGTCATTTGACATACGGGACAATATGTTGGGGCAATGCTGCTGACACACATATCTCAAGAGTCTTTATTTTGCAAAAATCAGCCATAAGAGCCATAACACGTGCTTCTTGGTAAGCCAGTTGTAGACCAGTATTCCCAGAACTTAAAATTATGACACTCTATGCAGTAATAATCTATCAAAACCTTCTATTCGTAAGAAAAAATATTAACACATTTTTTTCCCACTCTGATATCCAGAAATACTATAATACAAGGCACAAAGATAACTTAGTCAATATCTAGTATAGACTGGAAAGGACAAAGAAATATTATATTGAGCTATACAATATACTACCACTTAATTTTAGAAATCAGCCTACAGATAAATTTAAACACGCATTAAAACAAATGTTATCCAATAATTGCCTACATAGCTTAGAGGAATTTAAATCAATACTGTGGCCTCTAAGTGATTCAGTGAACTATGTTGTAAATATTTGTAAATTTCAATTTTATATTTTTATATTATTATATTTAAGTAAATTTTATTATATATATATATATATATATATTTAGTTTTAATTGTAATTTGACGAGCCATAAAATGTAATATTTTCTCAGGTAAATAAAGATATTGTATTGCTGTAAACTCAGTTTAGCTAACAGGAATTTAATTCTGAACTGGTTATATTTAAAGTACAAATGTCATTTTTAAAACTGTTTAACAATAAGCATTATACAACGAGGTTCACAATTAAACTAAGTTTACATTTTAACTGACTATTGTACAACCCGCCCTTAATAGTTTAAATTTTCGAAAACCTGTTGTAATGAAAAAGTCAGTTTTTTTATCAAAATGGAATATCAAATTTGAATGCCACTGATTTAGGCCTGTTCTTGGCTCATTGGTCTTTATAATTTAAATAAATGATTTGTTCTCAGGTATTTTTAAATTAAGGAGGCCACTTGTTCAAAATTAATTGGTAATACTGATTTAAGAGTCTTACAAGGCTCTGTACTTGGCACATTGATCTTTGTAATTTAAATAAATGATCTATACTCAAGTATTTCTAAATTGTTTAAAATTAATTGGTAGTTTTTGGCTGGTTACCAGGAGAGTTATTATGAATAACATTTTCCAGTACAAATTTAAATGAGCTAATTTTAGAAAGCAAAGAGAGCTGGAGATGAAACTCTATGAAGAGATGGTCGAGCTTAAAAATTTGAAGAAAAAATACAACACCGTGAAGGCGGGTCTCTACAGCTCGGAGGAAAGATGGAAAAAGGCCAAAAGGTATCAAAGATTTTTGATTTACATCAGCCCCTTGCATTGGAAAAAGGAACACGCTGATCAAGTAAAGGAGTACGACTTGTCGGTAAGAGGTATAAATAAAAATAAACAAAACAATAATATTAATTATAGTTTTTTGTTTCATATTAGAAAGAACTCACTCCAGCTGAAGAAGAAGAGATGTTCGATGAAGCAACTTATGAAACAATAGAAATGCCTTTTGATGATATGTTAGAAATTATTATTAAAGCTTGTAGAACAAATTTACCTCCTGAACTTTATTTTAAAGGTACTTTTAGGCTATATGACCATTTAGTTTATTATTTTTCTCTCACATTCTTCAGCCCAAAGAAAGGTATGCTCTTATATTCTATTCACTATAACTGAGTGTTTATCATGTTCATACAGGTATTCTGAATTCTTATTGGAGTAAAATATAGACAATTAACTAATATTATTTACAGCTTGCTATATAATATCTATAACTATTATTTTTATGAGACAGCACCAGAAGAACTGCTGGACATATTCAAATATATGGAATCGCAGAATATGAATTATTTGCTTCACGCCGAAGAGTTGGCGGTTCCATTGGAGAAGATCAAACAAGGTATGGAAGTGGCAGCTGCATCCTTTGACAAACAAATTATTTCTATGAACAGTACTATCAGAGACTTGGCTAAAGCTATCGAGTAAGTACGTTATTTTACAATAAATGCATAATTGCTTTTATGTGTTCACCGAAATTAATTCAAATATACTGAAACAATTACTAATTATGTGAAAAATATTTAAAAAATTTGGAATCGGTTTAAGCTGATTTACAATTTTGCGAACTCCCTTCAACTGTTTACTTTTCAAATTTTTACATTCCAGATTTTTATCTTACTATTACCTCCTATCATGAGATGAAAATTAACTAAATCATTTGACAATACACTCACATGGTAGGAATGTTGATAGCGCAACTGGTGGCTTATTCTAATAATGCAAAATAACGTCACAACTGGTGGCGACACGAGACGATGTGGTTGCCGAGGCATTCCACCAGCTCTGCAACAAATGTTTGTGGTACTACCCCAGTAACCGCAGTCTAACAGGGTTCATTTACTTAAACGTCCCAAGACGAGCCGGCCTGAGGTCCATGGAGGTCACCACGATAATCATTAGAACCTCTAAAAGGGATCTAAGGTTAGATCGGCCCACGTTAGACCTCACTCTATACTGCAGCAAGTAGATCTACTAGCGCTCCTATCACCAGACGTGGAAGGAATCATTATTCGAGACATATCCGAAATCACCGAACTGGAAGAGCATAAAGCATAATCCTAGAACGGGTGCTCGAAGACTTCCTAGAGAACAATCCGAGTACCACAGCAATTGGACTTCAAGAACCAACTCACTTTTCTGGAATAGGAGTGCCAGACGTCATAGACATTGCCATCACTAAAGACTGCACATTTCCACTCGAAATGTATTTCCTACACGAGCTGATGCATAACTCTATTTTACTATACTTCGGGGAAGGAAAGAAGGAAAATACTCCGAAAGAAGAGGCTGGATACAATTTAAAAGGATAATGGGAGAAAACCTAGAAAATATCCCCAGAATTGAAGCTCCGGAAGACATGGACCATGCTCTTGAAAACCTAGAGCGAGTTATTCAGCAGGCAATGTCAACCAGCATGACTACAGTGAAGAAATCGAAGCCAAATAAATTGGAGGACAGCAGCCAAGAATTAAAAGACCTAATTACCAACAAGAGGAGAGCGAGAATAAGAACAAATTGAACAAGCAAATTCAACACACTGACAAAAACTGGGAAGGTTTTCTCGAAGAACTGGACCCTCAGAAACCAGGACTATGGAAATTACAAAAAATCATTTGACTAGAAAGAAAACTCATCCCATCCTTACACGGAGCAAATGGGTTGGTTATCACAGCTAAAGATGAAGCTGATGTCTTTGCCACTTCGTCGAGCAAACGATTATGAAGACGAAGATATGGACTGTACAGACGAAATGGAAGAAGAATATGACAACGAACGAGAGAGGCATAATCAAACATGTGTCAGCCAAAAAGGCCTCCAGAAGACACAACATTTCAAATCAAGTGATCAAACACCTGCCACTGAAAGCAACAATCTACCTCACTTCCATCATAAATGGGATTTTAAGAACATAGTACTTCCCGAGACTAGCAAAACTCCGAGGTAACTATGATCAGAAAACCGAATGAGGACCCCACTTTCCCGCAAAATATCGAATAATGATTCTTTTCACGTCTGGTTATACGAGTGCTAGTAGGTCTTTTTGCTGCAGTATAGACTGAGGTCTAATAATTATTATCTTGGAACACTGTATCAAATTGCAAGTTCTGAGACAAGTCAGAGGTATCATAAGAGGATTCAACAGGAATCAGTCAACAGAAAGGTATTCGACAGAGTATAGATGCTGAGCTTATATACAAAATGACGGACAAAGGATACACAGCAGGGATGGCAGGGTTGCTAAGGTCGTACCTCAGTGGAAGGCAATTCCGTAGCCAGATGGGATACGTCCTATCTATACCAGGAATTCCAGAAGCAGGAGCACCCCAAGAAGAGGTGTTATCACCACTGCTGTATACCATATACACGGTGGACATACCCCAGACTGACACTACCATGTCCCTCTACACAGACGACACGGCCATAGCTGTAGCGAGCACACAACCAAGAATTATATCCAGGTACTTTTAAGAATCAGAAACAGAAATCGAGTAATAAGGTAATAGGTGAAAGATTAAAATCAATGCCGAGAAAACTCGAGCTGTTCTTCAAGAAGAAAAAGCACCAACTAGGCTAGGAAACAAACATCCCATGGACCCAATCTATAAAATATATCGGACATGGTAGTGAGCAAGACAACACAATCCAAATCAAGGATGAACTGCATACTAGGAAGAAAAAAGCAAGCTTCTGCTGAAGACCAAGCTAAGGGTAACCCAGTCAGTAATACTGCCAATGCTGATGTATTCCTATACGGCCTAAGGATACACATGCAAGATAAACAAAAAGATACAGAGTCAACAAAACATCTGCTTAAGACAGGCTATAAACGCCTATAGATAAACCTGAAACGATGTAATATTTCGGGATCTGGAATCCACCAAGTTACGCCACCAGTTACCTAGTCTAATAGCGGTCTCAACCTTAAAACGGCTAATAAAAAATGGTTGAGAAATCGTCTGAAAATAGGATAAGACAAGGCCAGCTAAAAAATTATAATTATATCGTCCAAAAAACTGCTTTTCCATATTAATAATAGTTTGTGTTTGTAGTTCTGCTTACCATTTAATAAAATTAAATGTCTTGTACCATCTCATATAAGCAAAAGTAAGACTAACTTCATTATGATGGTACAAAGCAACAGCGGACATATTTTTAACCGACTTCAAAAAAGGAGGAGGTTCTCAATTCGTCGAAATATTTTTTTTTATGTATGTTTAGCGATTATTCTTTACTCGTTGTCCAATTTCTGTGAATTTATTAGAAAGAGGACACCTCAGAGGTGGTACCATATAAATTTGGTCAAGATCTAATGATGGCGTCTATTCGAAAATCATCTAACTCTTTATTTTTTAAGCATTTTCAGCGATAATTCTTTACCACGTTTTCCGATTTCTATGACTATTTTTTTTGTTAGAAAGGGAATACCTCAGAGGTAGTTCCATACACAATTGGTGAGGATCTGATGATCTTTGAGAAAATAAAAAATCTCAATTTTTAAGGGCATCTGCACGATTTTAAAGTCGGTTTTTTAAAATTATTTTTATATCTTGTCAAACTAAAGGAATAAATACTCATTTCTTATAAGATTTTGTTGCCAGTATTTTGGAATACCACTGACCATTTCTCTCGGTTTATATAGAGAATTTAAATTCTTAGGAGAATTTGACCACGTGGTTTGTCGAGGAGGAACAACTATTTCAATAAGATATTTGAAAATAAATAAGAAGGGAATACTTAATATGTATTCGTATAATCCTTTCTCTCGATAGAGCAACAATTATTTGTATTATTGAGTTTGAATATAGCTCCCCAGGACCGTACCGAATAATGCTAATTTTATACATTTGAAATTAATATTATGTAAAATAGATTGTAATATTTTTTTATTGTTTTTTTTTTCAGATGGGAAGAAAACAGAGTAGACGAACTTGAACGGATGGCAATGTCTTTGATCTATACTGAATTTAAGCAACTGATCATGGCTGACGATATTCTTAATATGCATGTTTTCGTTGAAGACGTTTACGAATCCAGAATTGGTCCAAACGACGCGAATCTAAATGTGCTTGAAATGATGAGATCAATCGAAAAACGATATCGCTCGGAAATTTTATTGATGGATAAGGTAATTATTTCTTAATTTTGATTCGTTGCAGGATTACATATAGTTTTTTATCTAAACAAGTACCCTCTTGGTTTAAATTTAATAATAGTAGTAGATATTAAAGATACTATTATTATGAACCTTTTCTTTTTCAGATACCTCATGAAATAGTACATGCTCTGGAAGGATCCACCTTCAGCGAACAATCGAAAGTGATTAAGTTTGCTGAATTAGCTGAGAAAAAGTTTGCAGAATTGGAACTGTCATTGAAAAAATTAAAAAGAGCGTATGCTCCTCCATTTGAAAAGGGACCTGGAAAAGGTATGAAGTATAAAGTATCAGAGGAATTCTAAGTTGATACTTTTTTGAAAGTGTATAAAAGTCGTTAAAATAAACATCTTCTTCAAATAACTTTTTTCCAAAATCTCAAAAATAAGATATATAATTAAAAAAAAAATCGGATCTGGATAAGTGATTCTTTTCATAAGCTCGCGTTGATTACGTCCCTGCCCTTTGTACACACCGCCAGTCGCTACTACTTATTGAATGATTTAGTGAAGTCTTCGTGTTAATGTGTTTTATATATGTTGGCAAACCTGACACATGAACAATATTGGTTATCCTGATTATGTCGGAGTATCGCAAATGTCAAAATTACAGTGTTTTCATGAAAATTTAGCTATGTTTTTAGCAGTATTATAGGACCATTTCTACCACGCGCATCCAACGATATTGGCGCTCCACAGTTCACTGTATTTTCCTCGCACCTCTAGTATAAATGATTTGACATAACGAAACTAACAATAATTATAATTAACGTAGAGTAGGCTTGTGTCAAAACTGTAAAAAAAATCTAAAACTAAACAGTAATAAGTGTTTCGTGAATTCTAAACAAAATAATTATTATATAAAAGTTTAAAAGGAAATGTTATTTCCCTATTTTCTTCTGTAATATCTTCAATTATTATGTTTTATTTCTATAAATAAACCAACTGGTGAGGTGAAACATTGTGATATATGATTTTATTTATGTGTCCTATGCGTACTCTTTAATATACAAAACACCTGGCACATTCTTTAAATAATTGTGGTCGTAGGAAAAATTGTGTATTTAATGCACTTGCCAAATATATTATCCATACACACAGATTAATCAGACTATTTTTTTACTTAACTTCAGTATATCTCTTACTACTAGAACTATTTCTATCACTGAAAAAAAGGATCCGTGTTTCGTATGTTCTGATGCATTTTCGGCTTCAACCCATCGGACCCTCCCCTCTAAATATGTATAAATTTTGCTTAAAATTGCTAACCCTACAATTCTCTATTCGTGTTTGCTGACTGGGAAAATTGTCACTGTCTCCTGGACTATATACAGTTAGTCGATGATGGTGAGGACTTCACAACAAAATACACTTTTATCAATGGCTAGTTTTTAAAGTCGCCCGGAGACCCTTAGCACGAAATTAGGCTAAAAAAATGGTGCCCGACGAAAAATTTGTGTGCGTGGTGAGGTAGAGAAAGGTTAAGGGTGTTTAGGAACAATATTAAAAAAATTATACTTTTTAATAAACCGTCGAAAATCGATAAAGAAATTTTCAAAACGTCATAAAAAAGTGACAGTTGACAGTAGACAAAAAATTTAAATTTTTGTTTTATTGCAGAACCCAAGAGGCGATCAAGAATACCGGTTCCCGTGAGACAAAAAGTAATCCCACAACGTAAACTGACCCTGCAGGAAATAGATTATTTGGAATACTTTACAGATTTCTGTCAATTCACCGATGATGCAGACAATTATACGAAACAATTATCTTTATTAAAAATGAATTAAAGGTCTCATAAAGTTGGTTAAAGTAAATGACGAATTAGGAACAAGATAATGAAAATAGTACGATATTTTATTTGGTTATTTTTTAGTAAAATATATTTAGATTGTATGTATATGTATTATTTGTACAGTGTTTGTCTCAATATATTGATATAATAAATATTTAGTTGTTTTCTTTTTCATACTTTAAAGTGTAACTCTCGCAAAATTGCATTAAAAAGATATGACAAATTTCGGTGATCTTCAGCCAGTGTATTGGGTCATTTTCGAAACCGGCTTTTGGCGAAAGCATTTCAGAAATATTACATTTAAATATTTGTAACGTTGCATAAATATTACGTAACGGTCCAGAAATATTTCTAGAATGTCCCTGAGATGTAAAAATGGCCTGTAAATGTAATACTTTCTAGTAATATTTTAGAAATAAAAAATTGAAATCTTTTGAAATATAACAGTAATATTTTAGAAATGTATTCTAGTTTTGTTTCACAAATATTCTGGAACGTTGTAGAAACTTATCTAAAATATTTCTGGAATATGAAAATAGCTTTTGAATGCAATGTTACACTGTAATAATTTTATTTAACTAAAAAAAGACATTATAAATATACATGTTTATTTAAAATACACAAAATAGAAACATTCATTCTTAAATACATTATTTCATAAAATATAAAGGCGAATCGCTTTTTTTCCACAAATCATTTAAATGCACTAATCTGAAACAAATAGTTTTTTTAATAAATCCCCAAAGTAAAGAAACATTTACGATTATTACAATCTGATTGCCATGTGCATATCCATAGAGTTTCGGAGCATGACTGATCTATTTGAATATTCTCGATTATAACCATGATATATCAGACAAGTGGGATCGTAAGATACCTAAATAAGGCGGAGAAAAACTTAAAGAGTAAGACATAACCAGACTGATCGAAAATCGCTTACACGACAATATGCAAAATTAAATTTATATTAATTTTTGTTAAATTAATGAGATATCTTTTTTTACAAATTTTATCTATTCAAATACTCTCCATTTAATTCTTGAATTTGTTATAATGAAGAACGATATGTAAATAAATTTATTACGTCTTTGTTTACTGTGGTTTTACCGCATAGTTAATCTTGAAACAAACGTTTATCGTCTATCCTCTATCCTAATACATGGTTTAATGATATTTGACTCTCATCTACCAATTCCGGCATATTTTCGAGGTAAAAGTATCAACTACTAATTATGTGCTATTTACTTTTTGTCTTTAGAAAGTACCAGGATTCATTTATTAAAATTAATAACAATACAGTATAATTAGATCATGACCTCGGTATATAAAGTGCTTAAATATTCAACATTCCCGTTATTAATTTAAAATAAATCAAGATTATTTTATATCTTATATCTCATATCTCATACACAGTGACTAAGGATCAATTTAATAGAGACATAATTCGTCGTTAAGAAGAGGATCAGGCATATCTCAAAATTAGATTAGATTTGAGTAATTACAGTTTAAAGATTTCTATTAACTTAAATCTGTATTATTTTACCTTTAAAAAAATCCTTATAACATAAAATGTTGTGTCAATCTATATATATATAGAATTGTTTGTACCAACTGACTGACTGTTTTGTTTAAAAATTTAAAAATTATTTCTGTACTTTAAAACTACTTGACGTATTATTGTGATATTTGGCGGGAAGTGTAGATACTATACACCCTACTAAATTATGTTAAATGAACGTTTCTGGCTACCATCAGAGGCGTACGACAGGGGCAAGTGACTGGTTAATCCTTCCCAAATTCTACGCCACTGGCGGAGAAACATTTTATCTATGTGATTTGGGTTAAATCTTCATAATTTGAGCTCATGATTCTATAGTTGAAATATTTCCAATTAGTAATGAATCACCCTGTATATAAATTCCAAAAACGCCTTTTGATGGACCCAATTCATATCCAAGAATTTTTGTGATACGCCCCTTTGTCATGTTAGCGACGAATTCTGATAGTATTAATACTGCTTGCCTAAATCTTCGAGCATAAAGCATACACTCATATTGCTCTTGCAATTCACAATACAAACTTATATTAGCTTTGTCCCAACATCTCACAAAACCGTAATATTACGGCCATCGTCATGCGCAGTAAATAAAAACCGTTCGACTTTGGGCTTTATTGATAGGTTTTTATTTACTGCGTATGACGATGACCGTAATATTACGGTTTTGTGAGATGTTGGGACACAGCTATTGTAATTGATCTGTAAAACATGAATCGTAACTCCATAGTTCATGTTGGCGGTTAAATAGAGTGCCACAAAATGTCAACAAGAGGCCCCAAAATGTTAACAAGAGCCCAAAAATACTAAATCTTATGAGATCCTAGTAATAACCTCTCTGGTATCCCTAATATGCGAGCTAAGTTGGAAATTATTTTAATAGCAATATTTTTTAAATAATAACAACAAAGTTAGGTTAGGGTAAAAAAAATTGTTTAAAGAATACAATATATCGCTAAAATTGTTTATTAATAGTATATTATGCAACGATCATGTAATGATGGTTATTAATACACGAGCATTAACCGGGATACGAAACGAGCCAAAGGCGAGTTTCGTATGGTCTATGCGAGTGTTTTAATAACCATTACATGAGAGTTGCATACGCTATTTTTTCTACACCCGATAAATAATCAAGACCTATAAATATTATATTTATATTGGTATTGAACACAATAACAGTAATTACTCGTATTTCTATAAAAAATTCTACAAAATTGTAATTAATGGTATTACTTCGGGTATTGGTATTTCCCTAGATTTTTGCTGCAAAATATTTTGTACTGTATTTTCTGCTTTCTCCGATATGTGTGGAAGAGTCTTCTATATCGCTGATATGAGACATTTTAATATTATAATTATCGAAGTTTAGCTATCTACGAAAATTTAATACGTTTTGACAACTAAAACAATTACATAGAAACCTAGGACAAACGTCAAACAGCATGCTTGATTGAAAAATAGTAGGTTTCTATTGATTAAAAATCTGTATCGTAATGAAAAATCTGTATCATAATGGGTATCATTATGAAACGGATTATGGGCATATAAGTGCATTATTATAATACGGGTGTAGAAAAATAATAAATTATGACATTTTGCAGTGTATTAGGATAGTTTTAAATGATCCATTTCTAATTGTTTCTTCCTAATTTTCCTTTACCTATTATTATTGGAGATACTACTGTTTACCATTGAGCTTTATTTAAATTTTTAGAAATGCCTAACGTCTCGTCAATCAATGATAGAAATAGAAATAGAAATAAGAATTACATATTCATGAAACATGACATACATAAAGCGTGTCAGACTTGTCAACAAAACAGATAGTACACTATACACAGAGATAAAATAAATCCATGACACTATACAATATTTAAAATAACTAGTTTACAATATTTAAGATCAAGAGATCAGCACGTCACATACAAAAAAAAATTATGTTATTTAAAAATTATTTCAAAAGATTAAAATTAAAGAAGCTAAAATTCTAAGTATTCTTGCATAGAGTAAAAAGCATTCTCCATGAGAAACTTGTATAGAGTATTTTTAAAACTATTAAAATTCTGTATATGTCCAAAAAGTCTAAGAGTCTTATTGTAGCATAAGATTCCCTGGTAACTTAAGGAACCCTGCCCCACAGATAATCGGGAGAATGGCAGTCGCAACTCATCAGCCCGTCGGGTGTTGTGTGTATGGATCATATTGTTTTTTAGATGCATTTCTTCATTTCTTTTAATGTTAGTTGATATGGTGTATATGTATAGACAAGGTAAAGTTAAGATTGACAGAGAAACCAAAAAAGTTTTACATGAATCCCTTGGGGCCAATCTACGATACATCGGATTATCTTTTTCTGCATAATGAACACCTTGTTCATGTGTACTGAGCTTCCCCAACAGGCAAGGCCGTACGATAGGAGAGACTAAACAAGACCAAAGTAAGTCAGTCTAAGTACGCTAAGTGAAACTGTTCCTCGAAGCCGTCGTATTACGTAGCATAAACCACTAATTTTGTTAACTAGGGATGTTATTCGAGTACAACATTCCTTGGAAGAATCAGTGCCAGGCAATTAGAAATAGTTTAGATCAAATTGTAAGGTGTAATCAATAGGTGTAATATTAATAATTAGTAATCAGATAATAATAATTATTATTATTAATATTATCCTAGTCACATCATTAAAGAAACTATACCTATACCTCCTGTTTTTACTCTTTTTGTTTTTCAGCAATTCAGGATAATAGCAATAAATTCGAAGAATCAGTCCACTAAGAAGAACGAATAATACTAATAGTTGAGAAAAACCATGTTGATAATGAACTTCATACATTTGAGAACGATGGTGTCAAAAATCCGATCTTCATTGCCACAAGCCAAGAGGAAAGTATCATCACAGATGAAGTAACAAACAACATCATGGAAAATAGGTCATACAATTATCAGAGAGGAGAGTAATATGGAAAATGAACCTGAACCGTTAAGAGATGCTGATGAAAACAAGACCAATTTTATTCAAACAAGCGAGAAGGAAAATGATACCACAGATGAAGAGACTAAGGACATGACGCAAAATGAGATAGATAATGATCAGCGAGAAGACGAGAATACCATAGAAAGTGAATCAGTTACAGACCAAGGAAACTATGTTGATAGTAAACCTGAACCGTTTGGGGATAATAGTGATGATGATCCTGAATTTATTCCCACGAGCGAAGACGGAAAGTGACAGAGATGAAGAGACAAACAACATGGAAAATGAGACTGATAATGATCAGAGAGAAGAGGAGAAATGTTGATATAGAAACTGAGCCAGTTATAGAACAAGGAAAACCTAGAAAGCGGATAAGAAACGAAGCGGATTGGGAGGTAACGAAAAGACAGAAAGCAACGTTGGCTGGAAAAGAACATGTTTCCAAACTGGGAAAAAATATTAGTGCAAAAAAGATAAGACGCGGTTGTGGCCCATGTAGAAAAAAATGTACCGATAAAATTAACGAGTTGAATCGTGAACAAATATTCAACAACTATTGGAATGAAAATAAGAGTTGGGACCTCAACCGACAGTTTGTGCTTTCCAGAATAAAAAGTTCTCCAATTAAACGGAAGAGGCCGTCAACTGGCACAAGAGACGAACAGAGAAAACAGACAATACGTTATAACTTTGAAGTTGATAGAAAAATTATCAATGTGTGCAAAGTTTTTTTTTTTGAATACATTAGGGATATCCGAGACAGTGGTTAGAAACGCATTGAAAAAATCAGAAAGAGGAGGCTTTGTTTCACAAGGCATGCGCGGGAGACACGAACCAAAGAATAAGTTGCCTGAAGTTATTGAGGTAGGGATTCGCACTCATATTCGGTCTTTTCCAGTTTATGAAACCCACTATATATAGTCGTGAAAAAAATTAAGAAAAGGAAGTACTTGGGAAGCGAACTTAATACAAACAACATGTTCAGTCTGTATAAACTCAAATGTGAGGAAGAAGGTCTTCCAAAGAGTCAGATTGCTAAACCTTGGGTATATCGCCATATCTTCAATACAGAGTTTAATTTAGGATTTAAACTACCCTCGAATGACACTTGTGATATGTGCGATAGTTTGAAAATGGCATTACAAGAAAGTCCCTCAGGAGAAGAACGAGCAACCATTCAAGAAAAAATTGATTGTCACCTGAAAGATGCTGAAATTCGCTATGGCTGAAAGAAACAAGATAAAGTAGCAGCGGGAGAAAAAACTAAGGTTATCATGTTAGATTTATAAAAGTGCTTACCAACTCCCCATCTAACCAACGCTAAAAGTTTTTATTCACTGAAGCTTTGGACCTTAAATTTAATCATATATGACGCCACAGAAAAAAAAGCTTATTGCACGGTTTGTATGAATCTGTTGCTGGAAGAGGGGGGCATGAAATTGCATCGGCTTCGGTAAAATGGACCAACGAAGTTGTGAAAGACTCTGACACAGAGACATTGATAATTTGGTCTGACAATTTCCCAAGCCAAAATCGAAATATCATGATGGCTGTAAACTATTTTTATCTTTTGAATAGTTGCCCCTCCTTGAAATCAGTAATACATAAGTTTCCTCTCAGAGGTCATACTCATATGGAAGCAGACTATGTTCACGCTCTGATTGAGCGAACCGTAAAAAAGCAGCCAACAATGACGATAGCTACACCTTGGGATTGGCAACAGTTGATTATATCAACTGGAGCTACAGTTTGGAACATGGAAGTAACCGATTTCAAAAATTTTGATCTTTTGTACACATCCTCAAATGCCCCATTTGTTAATCGAAAAATCAATACCTACAGAAAAAGAAAACTTTCTTATTTCATCAGCAGTATGGCTAGAAGTACGTCGTCAAAGTTCAGGTCTGCTTTATTATAAAACAGACTTTACCGATAACGAATTTAAAAGTGTTGATTTGAATAGATTTTCCAAAAAAAAAAAATTCTATTCCACATGAGTTGCCTGCAAGTCGGAAAATTTCCAAAGGTATAAGCGCTAAAAAACATCAACATCTTTTGAACTTATTTGAGTGGATACCTTGTCAATTTCATGACTTTTATAAAAACATGAGAATAACCGATCAGGAAGTTAGAGAATCTGATACAGACTGAATTATAATCATTAAAACCTTTTCTCGTAATATTTCCTATATTTTTTTGGAGTTAAAGCTTAAGTTTTTTAACATTTACCGGTTTTTTTATTCAGTGGTAAAGAATCGCAAGTACCACTAATTCTAACCAGGTAGATATTTTTTTTATTGGCATTTGTAAGGTAAAATATGTTGATTGACTTGCTTGAATAAATACTTTAAAAAATAAACTGTTGTATTTTATTAATTTCTATAAAAAAAATTATATTTTAAAACTTTAAACCTTATTATCTCTAAATCTATAAAATTGGATATACGATTCTTTACCTCTGTGGTACAGATATATTGTATGGCCTTCCTACGCTTCTGTACTATTCTGATATGGAATAAAAAACACTTATCATTAAGTCAATTTATTTCACAATAAATAAACTAGGGAATAAACAAATACAACAAAAAAAAAAGGATCTGTGATTCTAATATTTAACAGTTGCTTCTTTAAAATACTATTTTTTCTGCGCAGCAGATCTTGCAAAAACCACCACTAGGGGTTTCTCCTTCAATATATACCCGTTAGTCTCTTTGACTGCCTTTTGGGCTAGCTCGATGGTATCCAAGGTCACAAAGGCCTGTCCCTTCATTCTTCCTTCTTGCATCAATCTGATATCAAATTGACTAGGAGTATCCCCTTCAGGGATCTTGTATCTGAAACAAAAAGTTGAGTGATTATTGAAAAATGCTCTCTCTTTATTAAGTTTTATTACATTGAACAATTAATAAGTATATTGAATATTTCTCACCTGTTATAAATATACTCCAAGTCTTTCTGTACTACAGTTTTAGCGCAATTTTTAATATAAAGTCTACATGTTGCTGCACCTGGGTGATAATTTTTGAATACAGGCAGTATCCCTATATCTTTATGGGGTATTTGATTTGCAGCCAATTCTTCACTTGTAATATATGATTTTTCTTCCGAGACTTCTTGCTCTGGCAGCACATTTGAGTTTGAAGATTCTTTTAATTCTGGTTTCACCAATGGTAACATAATGCCAAAGGAACCACTTTTCTCTTCTATCTCTGGTTGTTTTTGAACGGTTGGCTCAGTTGGGACCCTCATTTCTATTTTCTTTTGTATTTGAACATCAACCTTGAGTAAAAAACAAAAAAATAAATATTAACATTGTTTTTGTCAGGCATTGACAGGGTTAACTAATACCTTTTAACTGTAAAATAAAGTTACTACATGAGAATCTTGAAAAAATAACACAAACCTTTTCAAAAACATTTTCAGCCTTTTCAGCAACTTTTGTGCTACTAGAAGGTTGAGCGGTGGGCAGTTTAATAAACTTAGGTCTTTTAATAGCTTTCTTCTGAATACTCTTCCTTTTCAAGGGCATATACTCCCTATTTCTAAAAGTATCTTCACTGTCACTCTCTAATTCAGATTCAGAAGAGCTTCCAGCGGCTTTAGCTTCAGTTTCAACAGATGCAGGCTGGTTTATTCTTTCTACTGAAGGTGGTGGAGTAATTTTTTCAAAAGACTTTTGCACTACTGGGTGCTGTGAAGGTGTAATTGTTCTTACAGGTAATTGTTCAACAGCAAAAGGAGGTGGTAAATTCATCCGGTTCATCAAATGTAACACTTGAGTGTAAAATCTAGGAATAGTTGATAAAGCATGTGCTATATTATTAATAGTAGCCCTATTGGTTTTGGGATACAAATACTTTAAATGTGATGGAGGAGGTTGGTGAAATCCAACGCTGTCATTAAACGAAGTTAATTTATTCACAAAGGTTTTAAAGGATTTCTTACTGCTAATATCACTCTCTTCAATTTTTTTCTGTTTGGGTTTACCTTGGACAATATCATGTTCGGCATATTCCACACAAAGTCTACAATTTAATACGTTTATCTGATGTAATCGAAATAGAACACTTTTGGCCAGTTCTTCAGAATCAAACTTTGCATAAACAATTGATTTTTCTTTGACTCTGGAGGTGATTATTTTTATTTTTGATGCTCCGAAATGCCGAGCGAAGTCTTCTTTTTGAGCATCGGAGAGCTCCTTTGGTAAGTTTTTTATTTTTAAAGTATCTTTACACACCATTTTTCTGTATATTATGTCTCTGGTATATTCTAAAGATCTTAAAAAACGAAATCAGATTTTTGAGGTTATGTTTATGTTCTTCGACTTTTGGGTTTGTTTTCTCAAAAATGAAAAATTCCATTGGCTAAAATATGTATCACGTGAGTCAATTTGAAGAACAGTTCTGCCAATCGTATATTTATAAATCATATAAATACTTATTTTTGTCTTATTTTTTGTTAATATCTACATTATTTACTATATTAGCACTTTAACTTTTTACTTCGCTTTTAGAAGTCTGCAAATGTAAAGTATAGAGACGGGTGTATAAGGTTGCAATTTTACTTAGTACTTTTTTGTATCTCCGTGTTGGCAGTTGGCAATGGTTTGGTGCAATCGCATTGCATCGTTGCCAAACCAATATTTTTCTTAGGAATTCAAAATAAATTTCAGAGATTCTGAATTAAATTTTTTTAGTTTGACATGTAAAGTGACATTTTTTTGTAAAGTGTCAAAATTATCTACTTTATGCAACCAGTTGTATAATGTTTAACATTATGAAACTGGTTTCGAAAAATTCATTATGTCACCAGTCACCAGAAAAAAAACCTTTCTATGGTTTTAAAATCAATAAGGACCGATTCCACCGTTGTGTTAAACGAAGTTTAAAATGACATTTTTACATTAGCAATGTCATTTTAATCTCCGTTTAACACAACGGTGGAATCGGCCCTAATATATACATTAATATTGAAAGTTTATGTCAACAAAGGGCGGTTGACTTATAAAAACAGAATTTGGTTAAACTTACAACCTAGTAATAATGTTGATTTGGTCCTTATTTTTCATTCTAAATTAGCACAAAATAATTTAAACACAAAACACGACAAAATAACCCACTTTTTTGACAACTAAATAAGTTTAATAAGCCACATAAACACATTACAAGTCGTTGAGAATAAATAATTAATAGTATGTTCTATTTGTCAATAAAATGATGCATTATATGAAAACTGCATAAGTCCACTTTTTAAGGAAACCTGGATTTTAATGTTGTTAACATTGTATATAGTTCTTTATACAATGTTGTTAAGCAGTTCGAACTTCATGAACCAACAATAAATTTTATCTTTTACTTACTAGGTGGTGCCACAAAATAACGAATTGAATGTTGTCTAAATTCGACGATATCTGTAACAACATGAATTTTTATGTGATTTTTATCCAAACTAAAAAATAATTTCTTTTAATATTCATCAATTTACTTTTCAAAACAAACATGATTCCAAAAAAACTATTAGTAATTACTCTTAGATAAAACTCATTTTTCGCCTAATATAAAATTTACATTTTTGGATTTACGCAATTTTCATATGATGCCGAAGATATGCAACTACCAATACAAGAAAGTAGTATTGGTTGCCTAGATGTCAGTAATCTCTTACCAGACCTCGCTCTGTTCGTCCCGCAAATATTTATGTTACATAAAATAAGACATTTCGTAACTGGGTTCGTAAATAGCTATTGCAAACGTGACGATGTCAAAATTCGATATTGAAATCATATTTTTTAAATTTTTATCATTTAAATTATTGTATGGTGTTGTCATGTCATAATCATCTAAATAATTGCAAATATTCTGCGTTACATCCAATATTTGTCCAACAAGTAGTGTTTATATATATTTTGATACAAATAGGAGACAATAATTGAATAAATTATTCAAAATTCTGACTTTTTTGCACTAATCTATAATCAAGGCATTTTTGTAGCATTGTAGCTATCTACTTAAAGGAACTGCGTTCATACGGGATATATCATATTATAAAATCTTACAAGTAAGATAATATCAGAGAAAAGTAAAACCTAATAAATACAATTTATTTTTAACCATTTTCTGATATCATGTTTAGTTCGAGAGATATAGCCAATATAAGTTTTAAATATTTATTTATTTGCCATATCCTTATCAAAAATTGTAACATTTATTTTAAACAAAGTATTAAAATATTACATAAAATAAAGTTGGAAAATATTTTAATAATAATTCGCAATATAAGCAGATTACAATTATCATGCTTCTGTATCTGTAACGTGTGGAGGGTGGGTTACCCCCACGGCACTTAGGCCTCATTATGCCCATTGTGCATCCTCCTAAGATGATAGGCACCTCCTAGCTCGTCAGCCAGCCTACAGATTTAATGTAGTTGACAACTTCGCCAAAAGAGGTGCTTCTCGATCTATATCGGCCGGTGTTAGCCGATACTCGCCGAACACAAATCTTCTAATAAATGAGAGCGTCGGGCAATCGTAAAGGATATGCTCGATGGTCTCATCTTCTTGTTCGCACCCTCTGCAGAGTGCGGATTCTGACAGCCCCATGATATGGAGATGCTCCGTACTTGGCAATGACCAGTCAGAATGCCTGTGACCAGACACATATTCTGTCTAGTCAGAGTCAAGTATTTGTTTGCTGCAGTCTTGTCACGATAACTTAAGAGCTCCCTGGCAACTCTGCAGTTTCTTGTTTCATCCCATCTTTCCTTGAATTTCACAAGGGAATGTTCTTTAATTAGGTCTGTCACTACCGATTTTGCTTATCATGCTTAAAGTTTGTCGTCTAGTATCGAATGATTAAAAACTTTTTTCTTTTTCATTATTTAAAATAATTATTATTGGACGTGCATAATTAAAAATTTGGTATCTTAAATATCATTGAATTTCAAGAAAATATTTACATTTGACAACGTTACGGAATGGTTTTAACGAATAACCTATCGTTTACGTCAACATGAAATGTCAATTCTCTAATGTCAGTCAACATATGTCAAAAACAAAAATGTGATACGTCAAAATTATGGTACTCCAAAATCTTTTATTGGAGACGTGTATTAATTTGAAATGTTAACATATTTTCAAGAACAAAACCATGGCACTTCCAGGGAACGGGATTTTTGTCGTCAAAGGCGAAATATCAAACTTGCTGGCGGCTATGAAAAGGGGCACAAGATGGTCATCACATTCTTATCAAGACGATGATGTAGATGCCCTATTAAGAAACTTCCAAGAGTTAAGAGATATTTTAGATAATGTAGACGACTTGAGATTCGTAGAACCTAACACGTTTTTAGCTCCTTTTTTGAATGTCATAAGGTCTGAAGAGACTACAGGGCCTGTAACCAGTTTGGCACTATCTGCAGTAAATAAGTTTTTGTCATATGGTCTCTTAGGTGAGTACATAAAAGTATTAAAATTATACGATAATGATTTAATATCTGCCTTTTCAAACTACCTGCTAAGCTAGTTTTAAATATTACAAAAACCCAACCACTTTATATTTCTTTATTGTATTCTTCAATAACATTAAGGAGAAATGTTGAAAGAATCATTTTGTTTGCTCTTTAAAGGACGGCAACCAGATAATTGCTGTATTTTAGTCTTTAGAAATTAAAATAACAACTACATATTCAAATGATTCAGTAAAAAAGTTGTTCCTTTTAAATGAGTGAAACCACTTTATTCCAAAATACTTAAATGTTATGCATGTTGTATGTTGTAATACGGTCAAAAGCTGTATTACAACAAAAATTTATTGTTGTGGATTACTTGAAAAATATTTCAACGGGTAATTCCAATCCAAGAAACAATTTGTATTTAACACAATTTGAAATGACCTGAAGTCTGGTAAAAGCAATATTTCTTGCATAAAGGTGAGAATAATAAAAGAAGCAATGAAACTGGATCATGAATTCATTTAGTTACAAAACATATTTAAATATGTTGCAATAAAAGTGTTTACAAAAGTGATATAACTTATTCTTTGAAGAAATGTATGAAGTTCAATGCGTCTGCAACTAGAAAAATAGGTTGAATTTGAATATTTTTACTTAACCGACACTCATAAAATATTTTATTTTACACTTAGATGTCCTACATTTTTGTTAGATTATTCATAAATCTTTTAATGTGCATATTACATATTCTTTCAAAAATGACTTATGGTTTATGTGTATCTATTTTTTGGCTACAATCTGTATTTGATACACAGTACACAGGTTTTTAGAAATAAAGGTACCTATTGTGTTTTTAACATTACTTGGGAACATATTGTTATAGAATTGAAGACATTTAATTTATAGTCTAGATCTAGAAGAAAACAATTTTATTGTCATATGAATATAATAGATACGATTTGAAACAAGTTAGAATTCTCAATATTGAAAATTAAAACAAAACATAAATTAGAGTTTCCAGTATTTTTCATTTTGTAACAATTCCACTCATAACAACAAATTATCTATCTAACAACTGCAAACTAAGAAACAGATTTGCAATTTTAAACTTTTGTTTCCTACTCATAATGAAATTTATTCCAAAGGATGATAATCCTTGCCTCAATCCTTATCAATGATAATTTTGAAATTAATAAAGTACATGTCTAATATTTTTTATTATTTATTTGTTTAAGAGATCATACTGAATACAAAAATATTTAAACATTAGGCTACTTATGATAGACTACATCGAAAAAAACTAGAATATAACTTAATATATAACAAAATATTTATATGGTCCAGAGGGTTCGAATCCTAGCTTTTTATCATTATTTATTTCACCTTGTAAGAAAATTGTACAAAAAAATTATGCAACGTTTATCGTTTATATGGTAATTATAAAAATACATAAAATTATATACCTACAAAAAATTTAGAAAAAAAAACATACCTAACAAAAACATGAATTATTAAGTATATAAAATATTCTTCTATGGAATAGCAGTTTTTCTCTAATAAAAGTTTTTTACATTAGACTTAAAAGTGAAGAGATTACTGTTATTCTTTATGCCCTCTGGAAGGATATTATAAAATTTACAACCCATATACTCTAGATTCTTTCCAAAAAGTGCCATACGTTGTCTAGGTATTAGTAATTGGCTGTTGTTTCTTGTGTTATACTCATGAGAAGCATGCTTGGCAACATATATTGATCTGTTCTTATGAATGAAAGTACATGCTTCTAATATATATATGCCCCAGCCAGTATCAGAATTTTAGATTTTTTAAAAACCTCTACATGAATCTCTTATTCTCAGTTTTGCAATAATTGTTATGGCTAATTTTTGAAGAACAAAAAATCTTTGCTTGGTAGAACAGGTACCCCAATTAAGTCCATATTTCAAATGAAAGTGAAAATTTGCATGATACACTGCCAAGAGTGTACTTTTACTACAATGATTGGCAAGAAATCTAAGACTATAGCAATGTAATGTAATTTATTACACACGTTATCAATATGTGAATTCCAGGTTATACCATAATCAATAGTGATTTATAATATTTTATTATTTTCTTCAGATATAATTGGATTATTAGTGATTTCAAATAATTGGTTCTGTATAAATTGTCCATTATTATTAAATAACGTTATATTAGTTTTAGTTTTGTTTAATTTTGTTTATTTATGTTATTTTTTCCGACCAGGATAAAACTTGATTATATGTTCTCTCTGTTGCTATTTTTAGTATATCTGCATTATTTTCGATAATTAAAATATCTGTGTCATCAGCATAACAAGTTGGGTATATTCCAGGAATAGCATTCAAGGAAGTGATTAGGTCGTTGGCAAAAACTAAAAATAAAAATGGACCCAAAATCGATCCTTGGGGAACCTCTTGGGAAACTTCCAGCTCCAAACTAGGAACATTATTCACAATTTGTCTACTGTTTGATAAATATGATTCCAATAAGTCAAGTGGTATACTTCTTACCCCATATTTAGACAGCTTAAACAGTAGAAGTTTATGGTCCACACAGTCAAAAGCTCTAGAAAAATCAATAAATAAACCCATTACATGATTCTTACTATCAAGAAATCTTACGATTTTAGTATGGAACTCTATCAATGCAGTCTCTGTACTCTTTTTTGAAGTATAACCATGTTGTGATGGCAATAACAGCTTAAACTTTGTGAAAAAATTACTTAATTGATTTTTGATATTCACCTCATATACTTTGGAAAAAGTTGACATGATACTTATTGGTCTATAGTTATTAATATCATTCGGATCTTCCTTTTTGTAAATGGGAACTACTTTATCTAGTTTTAAAGAATCTGGAAAAATACCTTTCTCAGTTGATAAATTCAACAAAAAACTCAATGGTTTGGTCAATAGAGCAACACACTATTTAATTAACTTATTATTTAAGCCATCAGTGCCAACTGAAATAGTGTTTTTTAAAGACTGTATTAATTTTAAAACTATCCTCATCTGAATCAGGAGCCATATAAAATGTTTTATTATTAAATGTAATGTTTTATTTAAAAATTCTAAAAAATCAAATCTCCATGTATGTGTTTTCACCTTTAGAGTTTGGGGATGGTCTTAATAATTCGTAGGGGGATTTTTGAGATTTGTTTCTGAATTTTCAAATTTTTCTACCACCTATTTTAGATAATTCTGACCTTTTAGATTTCGATTTGCGATCTAGGATATATTAAATTCACAATTTTCGCTTAACGTGCATTAAAAACTTAACTCATGCATACGAATATATGGGCTCAGTATGCATTAAATGCATTTTTTATATACACCAATATAGAGGTATTTAACGATTTGAGAACGAATCTGACACGGCGTTTGGCCCGAATTAGCACATCAAACTGCCAGTTGGGAATCTTGACAGTCAGTGTCGCGATGGTTCAGAGGTTTTAATCCTAGCGCCGACAGGCGTTTTATCTCCAAGTATGTGTTTTCACCTTTGGGGTTTGGGGATGGTCTTAATAATTCATAGGGGGATTTTTGAGATTTGTTTCCGAATTTTCAAATTATTCTAAATTATTATTATTGTTTAAAATTTGCAAATAAACAAACAACATATCCTCAGAAATTCTTTTATGCTTAAAATATTAGTAAATGTTTGCCTTGGAGACATTTTTCAGTCACAATCGTTGAATTGAATTTTTAAACAAAAACAATTAAAATTGTCTTATTGGGATTTATAATGTAGTTTGATTGGATACATCGAGATAGAATTAGATAGAATGAAGTAGAGATGACATAAACACTATTTTGCGATGCACTTTGACTCATATTTTGATTAATTTGAAGTTAATAATATATTTTAAGATTGACGGAATGAATATGTTTTTTATAGCATTTAAATCACACTATTTATTCTCACCAAACTGACAAGCTCCACTAGCTCGAGTTTGACATATGATGTGTAATGCAAAAGTGCGTACACTTTTAGTATCTTCATAGCATCTTCTCTTTATTCTATACCAATGATTGGAACGATTCGTATGCTCCGCCCTACATTGTGACGTCACGCCTTGATTATGTGCGATGCACAAAATGGCGTGGTTTTAAGCAGAGACATTGTTTCCCCTGGTTTCACGAATCTTTTGACCTCTTTTTTAACTACATGCATTTGCGAAAACCTCTGGTCACTCTGGGCTCAATCAGCATTTTGAACCGATATCGACAGAAACGCGACGAGGCAGAACGCAGTGGCGTACCAAAAAAATAGAGATTGACATGTATAAAAATGATAAAAATATTAAAGTTGAATTAATATTTTAATTATTTATGTGATTTTAAAATAATGTGTTTTTTATGAAATTTAACTGGGTGTTCACTGCACACGTGAACCAATGAAGGAACCGGCGTATATTGATGTGATGCAGCTGTACTTTTAGTATTGAAACTGAGTCTATTTACTAACCAAATTCTAAATTTTAATAGAAATAGTTGTTTATGTGACACATATTTACAAAAGTATATTTTCCCTTTCTTATTTTACCTATCAAGAGTTTAATAAAAACAGTGATAACTAAAATTGATGCAGCCAATGAAATTTTTAATAGCGATATTTATTAGGTTAGGTATCTATAAGGAAATCAAACATAAGCAAATTTAAAATATATAGTGTAAAATGCGAATAATTACTGAGGTCCTTCCTATGGGCCTCAGTATTGCATTCGTGCAGACGAAAAAATTTTCTTACTCTCATTTTTTAAAACTTTTTTCATGTTTCCGATCATTCTGAGTCCGAAAATGCAAAAAAAATTTCGTCTGGTCATATGTGTATGTATGCCGGCACGATAACTCTAGAACGAAAGTTCTGATTGACTTGCGATTTTGATTTTCTTGAATACTTACTTCTAACTTAGAACCCTATTGATTTTCAGAATTTTCGGTTCAACCTAACTACTTTAATATCAATTTTCT